GGCTTACATTACTGAGGATGTGTCAGTTTCGGCGTTTAACCGCAAATACGGTAATTCATTTTTTACAGAAGTCAAACGTATTACGACCAAATGATGATTTGTGGATGGTGTGCAGAATCTTTTTCGGACATGATCCGCGACTTCATATTGGGTCATTCTCTACAAATGCCTACATCTGAGGCGTTAGATATCATCTGCGGGATGTTCGAATCAGCTCAATATATTTACGGGATATTTGAATTGTGTGAAGCGGTACCTTTTCATCTATTCTGTAAAAATCTGCCGCAGTCATCCAAAAGGAGCGTAAGTTGTCCATATACAGGTGACTCCGTTGTTGCCATGTGCTGAGAAGGTAATTCGTTCTTTGGCTGCTGATGTGATACCCGGCAGCATGTCGGGTCAGCTGGGATACGTTTTCGTTGCTTACATTTGCAAGCATTGGCATTATTTCTTGCACTCGGATCTGGCTCCAACGATAACCAATCAGTATGTTTCTTTCTTTTCAGGACAAACATTGAGAGCGGCTCGTATACCTTTTTGTGACACTTCTTATTATAGGTTGTATGAACTGATTGAGCGAATGATTCGGGCTCACGAATATCCTATGACTGGTTGGGGCCGAACAATTGCAGCTTTTGTTTATCATTCGAAAAGCCAGCTAAAGAAGAGTCAAGTGAGTACCATCCTATTGTGCAGTCTTTGGCATACTTATGCTGAAAATTTCCAGCTTTCCGATATCAAGCTTCACGGTGCTCGTGATGATTTTCGCCATGTTTTCAATCATGGGAGTTCTTCATACAATGGAGGAAGCAGATATAATGAATTGTTTTTCAAAGATGTTTTTGAAAAGAAGTTGTGAGTTTTCTTTTTGTATTTCTTTCATAGTTTGGACACACTTTTTAAAATCAGTTTTTACAAATTTATAAAGAGAAGATCAAGATTTAATGGAAGTTCAGACGTTTTTTCTCATATCATGAGTACAAAAAGAGGCTTCCGTCGTTTGGGCAACTTTACAATCGCTACTCTTTTGTTATAAATTCCTTCATTGCCGCTAAGGTATGTTTTTTGTTGTTTACAATGCACTCAAATGAATGCATTTTCCTTAGAACTTTATGCGTGATCATGATCGACTTTCTGATCTGGCTACCTTCTGTGGTCACATCTCCACGCAGATACCTGCACTCGCAGACGAATGGGTTTGCTTCTCAGCTACTATAATAATGTGTTTTTTGTACAATAAACTTCCTCTCAGGTGGCGGCCATCAAGGCTTTGTGCTGCACGAGTATGAGTCAACATACGGGTTATGGTAAACTTCTTGAGTACATTGATGTAAGCTGGTCTATGCTATATATGTCTTATATGGCTCGTTTATTTGGATTTTTTCAGGTTAATGACTGCTCGACGCATTATCCCATTGCTACATTCGTTATGTTATTAGCGGGTAAATACGCTTTCAGCGTTCCTAGACTAATTGCTGAGCTTTTGAACAACGCATTTCCCATCATTATGAAAAGAGAACAGAGCTCGTTTGTTAGCGGCAGATACAATGGTAAATTTTATTCACCAGGCGCTTTTCAATATGTTAGGACATATATGTTTTTAGTTATTGGCAGAAGCGACTATGACTGTGAACCTGGGGTATGCCTGACGCTTCTAATTCTCGCACAGATCAGTTGCGCAACAGATGAGCCTTTTCATAGTGAGTTTAAGTGTTCATGTTTGTTTTTTGTGATTTGTTTTAGTTTTTCG